TAGAAAAAAAGCTAAAAATGATCACACTTGCTGAGCCTGCAAAGCTACTTTTCCTGCATATAATCTGATTACCATGGGAGTTTGTATTTCTTTGATAAGATAGTTTTCTTTTGATAAGACAGTATGCAGAGTGTTTTAAGAATCCCTGTCTCCTTGATGCTCAGTGAGTGATCCTGAAGGATCTCCTAATGACTAAGACCTTTTGGCTCTCCCCAACAAAACGTAAAATTTTACTCTTTCCTACCACTCCAGCATAAGTATACACCTCATACACAGTCCATCATCTGTGTTTGCTTTTCTCAATTACATCTGATTAAAGAAAAATGTGCTGTTCAGTACCTAGCACACCATCAAAAGAGAAGTATTTAAATAATGTTTGACTTAAGTGGCATGAGCTGAAAAGAACACACTGGATTCCTAAATTCTTATACCCCACTCTTACTCTTTACGATACTTGTCAGTAGAGAAGGCTGGTGCAAGGTTTATACCAGGTGATGGCACGTCATACCAACGTGTACAGGTACACAGTTACCCTATTTGAGCTGAAGAGAGGCTGGACCTCACGTGAGCTGCGAGAATGGCTCAGTGTTAAGTCAGAGCTAGAAAGACTTTTCAAGGAGTCTCACACACTATGGTAGATTACCAAGAGATAAAGGTCTACAGTATTCCTTAAAAGCTCCAGAAAAGAGAGGTTTTGTTTTATTGTTTTTACTGTCTGCTGCTAGGGGTAGGGGACATGAAGAGAGAGAGAAAATAGTTCTTCCTGGAAGCAGTGTATGAATAAATGATCCTCCATGTTCCCCCCATAAATAAGTTAATTTTTTAAACATAAGCAGGTGTACATCTGTGCTATGTCTTTTTATAAAGTCTAAATCTGGTTGCGCCGAAACCAGGTAAAATTATCAAAATGCCTGAATGCTCTTCAGCTTTTAATTAGTACAGTAGAAATCACAAGGCAACAAACTTCACTATAACACATAAAATGTGAGATACTTTGCACATTTTTTTAAATAGATGATTTGTTTAACAACCTTTGAAAATCACAATTCTATAGAGAACCTACCTTAAACCTTATTCTGGAATAAAATCTAAGCTAACTCACCCCATTACCACTCAACAACAAAAAGGAATTCTTTCAGCACTTGGTATAATCCTACAAACACAATGTTCCAAAGCTATAACCTGAAAGGTCTGGAATATCAAAACACAATCTCGGTTTAAGAAAATGTGCGCAAATAAAACCAGCCTTCTACATGAAAATAACACAAGCATTTCAGCAAAAGTTAAGCTCTTGGGCTGTAGAGCTGACCAAGATACCTGTAGCCATCTTCATTAATGCATAAATCCCACTGACCAGGTATCAAACTTCTAAAGGAACTACTGAGAGATCCCATTTTTTTTGGTCCTAGACTCCCCAAACTAGAAGCTCAAATAATCAGGTATTATTTCACAGCATCATAGAACACCTAGAAATAATTATGATGCCTCTGTAGCACTGAAAGATAAAATGCCAGAAACCTAAAAATAAATCATTAGTTCAACTGAGCTTTTGAAAATAAAGCTATTATTTTCTCGCAAATATTACCTCTGTTAGGGCTACATGATGAAATTCGTTTAAACAGAACGCTAAATTAAATTATCAGAAAACCTCTTCTCCAAGTCATTAAAGATAAGAAGTCCATTACTATCTCATTTAAAGTATTTATGTAAATATAAAGCTGCAAATACGGGATTAAGTGTAAAATTATTCTTTGTGCTACTTCCTCAAACCAAATGCACTGTCAACAGAGGGGCCACCAGGCACGTGGCTATTTAGATGTAATTAAAATTAATTTTTTTTTTTAATTCAATTCCTTGGTCCCATTAGTCACATTTCAAGTGCAGTAGCAGTGGCTGGCTGGCGGCTACCATGCTGAACAGCACAGATACAGCTCATTTCCATCACAGCTGGATGTAAACACCAAAGATATGACATCTATCATTCAGACAGGCAAATTCAAGTCCTCTGGCCTTCCACGTGGCACTGCAGAATACTATGCACGACTTCATGTGTAGATTTTCTTAATTTACATTTCAACAGCAGATATAAACAGAAATTTTTATAAAACTGTATCTAAAAAGAACAGTGAATGCTTTTTGAGTTAGCTAAGCTCCTTCAGAAAACTATTTTTGTTTAAATACAATTCTTGGCAAAATAAAAGCAATGAAAAGAAGATATCTGATAAAATTTTAAATAGCAGAGAAATTTTGCTTTTAATGATGATTTCCCTTTTTGATCAGCAAACACAGTATGAGAGTGGCTCACTAAAAAGCCGTGCTGTCAAACTGCAAATGACCCTTTCTTTAATGAAGAAAAGTAAGGTGTCAAGTATGAAAGATTAATCAGTTTCTCCCCACCAAGCTGTGGAAATATCACAGAACCAGACACACTAACCATGTCAGGAATCTGAAAATGAGTGTTAATTATTACACCCATTCCTGCAGCAGCCTGTTATTACCTCTATTGTGATTCTCAGCGCTTGTCTACTTATTTTTATTTAGTCTGCTAAAAACGCATTCTCCTCTTCTGGTTTTGGGTCCAATTATCACTTCATGTCGCACATGAAAGAAAACCACTTGATTCTCTACCGTTTGGTGAGAAAACACACAAACACAATTTATTTGCACATTTTTAATATAATGCAGTCTAAATAGCAAATTGCTATCATTAGCAAGCCTTTAAAAGCAAATCAAAAAAAAGTACTCAATGCCACAGACCTGTACGCTTAAAAATGGTTATAAAATGGTCATTTATGTGATGTACATTTTATCCCAGTAAGAAAGTCTATCAAGGCAAATACCTACATTCCCAGACTATCTATTTTTTCATGTCAAGCATAACGCTTTTCCTGATAAATTGGTTAGAGTTTTTCAAAATAATAAATTTGAAATCTCACTCGATGCTGGAATAAAAATTCACATTAAAAGCTAAAAAGGAGGGAGGTGGGTACAGCTCAGTGGTAGAGTGCATGCTTAGCATGCATGAGGTCCAAGGTTAGATCTCCAATACCCAATTTAAAAAAAAAAAAAAAGCTAAAGAGAAATATATTTAAGACAATAGCCTTATTTTCAAGTATTTCAAATATTACACGGTAAAGATACATATAACATGAGGTTACTAAATGGAAGTTTGTTTCGTATTTTTATGTCTCGCAAGTATAGGAATCTCCAGTTTAACCAATTTTGCAAAATCAGGAGCAGAAACTCTTATCTAGCACCATTCCAAGCAAGGCAATTAGGCACTAATTGCTTCATAAACAGTCACTCTAATCCTCACAACTACCCTAAGAGCTAGGTATTATTCTCATCCCCATTTCACAGATGGTGAAACTGAGGGACAAATCATTAAAAAAGGAAAAAAGCCTATGGTCATAAAGGTAGGAGCTGAGCAAATACTGAAGCATTAGTCTGTTCAAACCTGGGGCACATGCCGCACACCACACTGAGTCTCATTAAGATTCCACTGACACTAGGAAAGGCAATCAGAAGAACCATGCTGCTAAATTAAATACAGTCTAAAGAGCTACATAACTTTTTATAAATTGTGATGATCTGGTATGTAGTTGGCAGAAGGAAAACTTTCATAAGTGTTTATTTAGAAAGCGCAAAGGACACCATAACATACAATGGATCTTAAAGGAAGAAATCACGTTGCAACAACTAACACTTGCCTTGTTTCTATTTTTAGGAAAAATTCACAGAAAACTTGCAGAAGTTATTTCAAGGCAAAGAAATGTGAAACCACAGAATAAAGAATTTTAACAGCAAAATCCCTTACTCTCATCCATTGTTCATATTTTAATTTGGGGCATTCATATCACAAATCTAACTTCGTAACCAGGTATTAAACTAAAGCAAGAGGGATAATGTTACACTTTCAAATTCCTTGCATCCTGGCAGGACAAGGTATCTCAAACCATATGAACTCAATTATCAATTCCAACAAATTAAGTCTGTCCAGCACGTGAAATTTTAGGATGCCCTCCCATGACACAAACAGGGGGTTAGGGGACAGAACATTATATCCTACATCTGTGACTACAAATAAACATATCTGTGGTCACTGATTCCACAGACTGTATAAAAGTAAAAGAAAAGTTGTTTTTGTGTTTGAAAAAATGAAGCCATTAAGAAAACATCGGATGACTGCAAGACGATCTCGTTTCAGTGCGAGAGGTTTAAGTACAACTTCCTAGAAGAAACACGCTACTCAAGTCTGCATGAGCTACTGCAATCCTCCAGATTCTGCAACCGTTGAAGGAAAGGGGCATTTCAAATGTCTCAAACCTGCTGTTCACCTGTGGCCTGGCGGCCACGTCAAGAACCTACGGAACCTATAAAGAACTCACTAATCTGCTCAGAAGTCTCGCTAAAACAAGCTGTGGAAAACAGAGGGAGCCAGGCAAATATGTTTCATTGCAATCAAAAACTTTGAGGTTGCATTTATTAAAACCCGTTTCCAAAAAGAGATAGAGCAGCTTGGCCGCTATTACAGATACAAAGATCGAAATTCAACTAAAGATAGAGCAATGATACGCTTTTCAGTATGTATATTTCACTCCAACTTAAAGTTGTTTGTTGTTGGGTTTTTCTTTAAAGACAAAGCAAATAAGATTCCTGGTTCCCCTGTTCTTGACCTTCAAGAACAGCAAAGAGTCAGGACCCAACCAGAGAAAAAAGAAAAGTTTGAGTGGCTGCCCCACCGACTCTGGAGCTGTTGCTGGGACCCCTCCCTTCAGTGAGGGTCTCCACGTTCCCGCACGCCGGAGTTGGGGTGGGGAGCCCGCCGGAAGGAGCCGCGGCCGCCCCCCCGAGGTTCACAACGCGTGGGCCCCCCGCGACGCGGACTCCAGCACCCGGGCTCCACTTGGGACCCGCACGAAGGCGCGCACCAGACCCCCGCCCGCGACCTCGCACACTTCCGGCCCCAGCCCCGGCCCCCTACCAGCCCGCCAGCTTACCGGCATCATTTTGGACCCAAATCGCATCGAAGCGGGTGGCCAGACCGAGCCCGGAGCCGAGCGGAGGCGCCCCGGGGGTCGCGCGGAGCGGGGGAGGGGAGCGCAGAGGGAGGCCGCCCGGGAGGCGGCGGACCTGTTGCAAGGGGCGGCGAGTGGCGGGGCGGCGCGACGGTCCGCACAGCTCTCCCCGAGGGCTGGGG